ACTATTTTTATATTAATAATTTTTATATCTACTTTGATCGTTTTCAACGTTTTGAAATGCAATTTGCTGGTTGAGATCGCGATACGGCCCGTTATTGTGTATGCCGCTACGCAACGCGAAACTTTCGGATGCGAGTTAATTCCGGGCTCGTTCGGCCGTTGCTCCCGCAAACAAAAGTTTGTCGTGCACGCGACATGGAAGCGAGAAGGAGAAGAGATTGGAAACAACGGCGGACAGCGCGGACAAAAGGAAGCAAAGGATAGGAAGGATGTTTGGTGGCAAGAGCGAAGGGGAAAGGAACCTCGAGATGCCGCGCGGTAGGAAAAGCGCCCGAAACTTCGAAACTTACCGCGCCTATAACTAAGATCTTTTCTCCTCTCGTCACAGTGCATTCTCTTGGCCGAACTTAGCCGGACCGGTGCGAAGGAGGCTACCGGTTATTCCCGGACAACCGTGGATAACGAGCGAATAAAACTTTCCTCGTCCGTATTGTCCGTTCTTCTTCCTACGAGCCGCCCGCGCGTACACCATTTATTTCCCCGTATATCTCGTCTAGACGCGATGCATTTCGCGCGAAGCGAAGATGAATGCGATCGTACTTGGACCTAAGCAACGTGCCTTTCAGAGCTTTCGGCCAATTGCTTTTGAAAAAAATTCATAGTACCAAGGGAAATAAGGATATAATCGTTTCGAGTTTTTTTTTCTAATTAGCGATTGCAGGTTGTTGTTCTCGGAATAAGATTTTAGAAGCTGTGCCATGTACTTTCGTGAGTCGTTCCTTTACGTTTAAGCAATCCTTCGCCGTTTCATTCGCCCGAGGTCGAGCTAATTAAAAACAGCGGGGATTAAAGTCAGGCGTGAGTGGATACGAGCTAAACCGCGGCGCGACAGAGCAATTAAATGAAAGTCGGATAATCCAGGTTTAACTATCCGCTTTTACACTCGGCAGAAAAGCGTTAAACAAATGCAGAGAAAGAGAGAGAGAGAGAGAGAGAGCCCGATACTATGCGTCACTTATTCCCAACCCTGCCCGGGATACGCGACGCCGCCGGCTGATTATGGCGTTTCGTTATTGCAGCATTTCGTCCGTTATACGTGCGTATTATCGTCGCGAGCCGGAATATCGGGTGATAAAAGCGCCCGTTATACATTCCGCCGGCGAGTATATCCGCGAGGAAACGGTGCCTGCTTCACCTTTGTGTTATATTTCAACGTATCTTCGGCATCCCGAGTAATTACGACGTGATATATTGTCTTCAACCCCCCTGGGGATCGTGAGGATGCTCTCGTGGCTGCCATCAGACTCTACGATGGCAGTTTTCCATCCCCGGCGCGCGATTATCTGCTTTTAAGAGGAATATCTTTCCGGCGGTCGCGTTATAATGCGCGGGGCTTACCGTTATTTACATGTTTGGCCACTCCTGTGGTATTTTTACGGTATCTCGTAACGTTTGATTTATTATTATCGCTAGAAATGTGGTTTCAAAGTGCAAATTCGAAGGGTTGTCGAAAAATGGTATAAAATCAAATTTGCATCACTAAAACTATTTCACCATCAAGATTCTTATATGTAAGAAAAATTAGCTCGATATCATTTAGAAAAATAAAAAGTTTATTTCTTTTGTATCCGCATTGCAAGCTTATCTGCTTTGTCGTAAATATAAAATGACGTGAAGAACTAATAGAGCGTAAGGAAGAACGATAAGTTATAAACGGCGAGGATATAAAGAGAATTAACAGGACATTAAAGCCGACAATGTGCATCGCCTCCCTACTTGGTTTCTCGGTAAAGTATATTTTTATACTAGGAGGAAACATCCTTTTGAAAGTTGAGAACGACTTAAAGCTCATAGACTCGCACCGAGGTACAATCAGAGTTCGCCTAGAGATTCGAGGATGACGTTCAAATCCCTCGGAGAAGAGTTTCGTAGCGTCCGACGGAAAGCCTTTTCTCCAGGAAGTTCGCGAAACTTTACGATACGAGGAGAACGTAAAAAAATTTCAACCATTACGAAACGTTGCGATATACCCTATATATATATATATATATATGTTTCCCCTCTCTCCGCTCGACGTGGCGATTCGACTGTTTCGAGATGATATTCTGACTATCAGCTCGTACAGTCTGGGTTAAACTGTCGTCAAACTAGCTTATCGCTGTCCTGTGCTTTATAGTAGACAATCACTTAGTTCTCAGTGAGATCTGCTTATTGAATTATACACGCCGACATAAAGGCGTGATTGCAACGTCGATCAACGGCAACCCAATTTCACGTTCCCCGCGTTTACATCGCCGGTCAAACTTTAATTCAAAAGGGCGCATCGCGAAAACGCGGGACTAAGCCGGGTTCGGTTAATTCCGGCTGTCAGCGCAATCCGGCTTAGAGCTTTTGTATTGTAAAAATTGGTGCTTTTTTTTTCCGGCCGCGGTGGCATCCGGTGTGCCGCGGACAAAATGTGAAAATACTGACAAGGGGTCGGCTCGCACGAGCGAAGTCAAGCGGAAAAAAAAAGTATCGATGACGGAAGGACCGGGGGTTCCTCTCGTTCGGAGGCGAATATATATATATATATATCGCTTTTCATTTCCAATCGCGATCTCTATTTTTCCCCTCCCCTCGTGATGGGGATATTGCGTCGCGAGTCCTCGTGGCAAACCCCGTTAGCACGATACACATCGTCCGTGTCATTGACGTCGTGCCACCGACGAACGGACGTCATCGTGGACGTTGAATGTCGCAGAAAGATTAATAGACCGCCGTAAAGTTGAAACTTCCTCGACATCCCTGAATATTCACACCACGTTTTTTTACAGCCGTTCGCCGTGCCCGAAACTTTATTTCACGAAAGGGCGCCTCGTTGTTTTACGGGTCTATTAGGATTCCTTTCTTTCTCTTCATTTCGTCCTTCTGCCGCTCTTCTCACTCATCCGTTCTACATACCGTGTCCTCTTCCGCTCTATTATCTGCATCAAACGGGAGAAATCGATGAAATGCTCTCGCCATTGTCATGGGTATTGACTTTACTTCGCTTACGTTGGAAAGTAACTTTCGCCGATCCCAGTGTTTAACTTCGAGTAACTGCTAATCGCTTTCGGACCGGAGTTCGCGAATACAACAAAGAAAATCAATTTCCTTATTCGCGGTGGATATCGCACATTATGACTTTACGACGATTTCACGATAGTTATCGATCAAGAATAAATATTTGATTAATGAAATAAAACGGCGATTAATTTAGACAAAAATTAATTTACTTTTCTTATCTTTTAAAATAACGAGAAAGCTATTATGCTGCAGTTTTGAACTTTATCTATTAGAATTATAGAATATTTGTGTGACATTAAAGAAATTAATACTTATATATTATTTAAAGAAAGAATTTAACAATATTTTTCTGTAATTACTTTTTCTTTTTAATTACTTTTAATGTGGTGAAATTTTTATTATGGTACATCTTTTTATAAAATTCTTTGCGTAATTAGGAACCGTAATAGAATTATGCAATTTAAAAAAATTAACTAAGCAATTATATCTGGGATATTCTTGTAAACGAAAAATTTAAATTGCATCATTATTAGAAGATTTAGTGACGTTGGAAAGACTCTACGTTACGTTACGTTTCGTAAACTGTGTCTGAAATATTTATTTTAATTATACTCACGCGTAAGTAGTTAATGACTGTTCCACATATCTCGCGTTTTCACTTTACTTGTCCATTCATCATTCTTCACTAGACGGCAGATGGCCACTTTACGCTCACTCTCGCCGACGAGCAGGTCCCGTAGCTGTGTAACAAGCGTACAATGGCATACGCATTAGTTCGGACGTGCGCCCGGATAGGATCTCGCGGAAGATCTCGTCTGCGGCACTTAAACGGAACAGCGCAGAGGCGGATGGGGGGGAGGTAAAATTTCCCCCGCGGGTGTAATCTGGCTGCGAAGTCGACGGTTGGGTCTGGGGGGCGGTTGGTTGGTTGGTTGGTTGGCTGGCTGGCTGGCTCGTCGGTCGGCCGGTCGGTCTCGAGGTTGGCAAAGGTAGTGGATGGGGCGGAAAGGCGTCAGGAGTCAGCCGAGCGATAGTAGTGGAAAGAGGGTTTGAGGAGAGGAGATGGGCCTTGTACGTGGGTGAGGAGGAGAAACAAACGAGGGGAAGAGAGAGAGAAAGGGAGAGAAAGATATCTGGGCGAAGCGAAGAAAAGAAAATGCCTAAAGTAAAGGGAAGCAAGCTTTAACGAGATCGATGAAGCTACCGTTTGCCTCGCCGATCGTTGCACTGTCCCCCGGAACATCTAACTCTCCTTTTCTCCCTTCCTTCTGATTCTTACGATCCAACCATATCCCTCCGTCGCTGGTTTATCTCATATACCACTGAAACAACTCTATCGCCACGCGCGGCGATGCTGGCGCAGTTGAGCCATGTTAACATCAATTTAATGAGAGCTCGTTAAAGGAATGCGCGCGGATCTTAAGCGATTAAATAAACCGACGTAATGACCCCATCATAGCCGGCTGTTTTTCATGGCGGACGCCACGTAGGAGAATACAAGCGAGATAAATCGTAAACTTGCTAAAAAATTAGTCTCGCCGTTATTTCATTGCCGATGAAGTTGTGGATTTAATTTATTTATTCATGGATATAAATAGTCGAACAAATTAGACGGAGATGCTAAATAATTCCAACAATTTTTTTTCTGAAATTCGGAATATTAATTTTTTCTTCCGACGTCTCTGAATTTATGTGGATATGTAATTGCGAACTCTCTCTAGAAAGTTGGCTATAAATTGAAAACTTTAATTGTTGGAATAGTCATAACTCATTTTTATTGAAATTTTATTTTTTATATTTCGCATTCTTTTTTTAATATATTTAAAAAGTTATAGATAAAAATATTCATTTTGTTAATATTATCGTTGGCGATACTACTATGTTTTATAAGTCTTGAGTAAGTGATATAATAAACTAGCTTAATGTCCAGTAACAACTTCTTTTTTTTTCCAGGTAAGTGAGCGATCCTTTTTCTCGACGGGGGTGTTTTCCTCTAAGGAGCTATTTCAAGCTAATTTCGACGTAATGCGAGCGTAACGTGTTTGCAGACTATTGCATGTCGCTACGTAAGGCGGTAAGTATTGCAACCAAGTATTAATCGACATTTTTATATTACAAAAAGTAATTGTTAAATTTTTCTATATTCAAAGAAAAATAACCATGTCACAAGTGTGTACGAAACAAACGCACTTTAATTGATCTAGTGTTAATTTCTCAGCTATCTTTGATTATCGGTATTGGCGTATATATACAGGACGCATCGATACATAATATTGCAATTTCCTTTTCTTGTGCAACGGAACTTCGAAAGGCGCGTCGTATTATCTCGAGAAGTTTTGCTGCCTTCGTCAAGATCAAAAGATTAACGTGGAACTCGCCGGCTGGGTTCAAGTGTCTGCTTATTAAATGCAGCAATTTCGAAGTTCTCTTTTGCTTACTTCGCCGAGTGACGAATTAATACGGTTTAAACTTTCTTAAAGTCGCGTACCATCCTTTGTTTCGTAGGAGTTTGCACAATGGAATTCCATTAAGCAGCCAGATTTGCGTGGGAGATTTTAATCCCTATGATCTTAATCTTTATAACTTTAATCTCCATTTATCTTTGTCTTTGTGGTACGCGTGAGGCATTCATTTTTTTTTGTTTCTAGATACCAAGCTCGAAAAGTCAAACGACCGATATAACTTCGGCGTTGTATATTCCAGATTCTTTTTACTGCCGCGGCGTTTTACTTCTTTTTTTTATCGTCTAACTGTTGCCTGTATGAGTATCGAACGTAAATTGCAATCACGTGAAGTTCCATTTCGCTCTTCCGTTTACAAGTGCAGTTACGATAACTTATCAGGACGAACCGGTGTACAAGAGCGATATTTTGTGTAGCTCTCGTTCCCGATACTTCATTTTCCAAATAAACTTCGTAAATTGCTGCATACGTAATTTTACTTTATTTTACATAACAAGTACTATTGTAACAAGTAATACGTAAAGTATAATTTGGTACATTTAAAATAATTTGGAGAAAAAGGGAGCATTAACTGCTCTCGTAGAAGATTAGATTTGTTATTCTACGCTTGTCATAATAACTTTTTGAATATTCCACGCGGATATACATATGATGTGTTCATTGAATAGCTATGTTTTGGCACGGACGTGAACTGCATGCACTCGTGGCCATAATAGATGCAATGTGCATAATATCGTTTGCATCGTGCATTACGAGGAAACCTCCCTTTGTGTGCAACATTTACGGCCCGGATGCGAAGCTCGCGAATGCAACCGGTACAATAACGTAACTTTTCGAGTAATAACTCGCGCTAAGTTTTCGTTCGTAATGACAAAGCCGATCGTTCGAAAGCGGCTTTCCCGTAGCTTTCGCGTCGCGGTTTCAGAAAGTAACTCCCAGCAGTTTGTATCGAAGTAATTATACGGTGCGTGGTTGACGAACGACGCTGTTTCGTCGGACGTGTGCACGTGTCGCTCAATTATGCGTAAATCCGTCCAAACTCGCTTAGACTCGAATTGCGCCAACTATTATTCGGAGTCAAAGTACGGCTAACTTAAATCAATCAACGGTATGCCAAAATGTTTTCTCATCTATCGAATTTTTGCCGTTATAGCCGACAACAGTTTATTAAGCGTTGCGCATCGTTCGCAACTTGATCTTTATTAAAACTTTTGGAACGTGAAACTTTTCGCGCCAACAAACAAAACAATTTCCCCATCGATTGCGAGTTTATTTATATTTTTTTATACAGACTTATTTTTTACTAAAGTTGCATACATCTCTTCGTGAAAATGTTGGTTAATGCAGTACGTGTTACGGCTATAACTAATTTTTTTTTGCAATTTCGCTTGTATATTCAATTAAACGCCTACATCCTGAAAGCGATAGCCGGTAGATTTATGTCGAGCATGTTGCTCGGTACATAGAGAGGACTTAACGTAACTTCACAGGACTGGTTTCGGACTAGAGAGTTCCGTCTGTAGTTACTGCTTTCTGGCGTGGACGTTCCAAGAATAATTAGTAGCTATAACAACGGACACGCTGAAAACTAAGTTCAAGAACAGAAACTACGCGGAGATGGGATTGACCTCAAAGTAGCGAACACATTGGTTCTGGCGATGAATCGTATTTTGACTCGACAATTCTCTGCATTCCCTATACTGTATTAGAATATGTATTGTTTGCGACTTGTTTGCGATTAATACGTCACGTTATTTTAAAATTTTCAACGAAAATAATTTTGCGAGTGGTAATCCGATAAATTACAAAAGAATATATTTTTTTTACTACGTGTTAACGTTGCAAATTGTCAAGTTATTTCGAATCTCTGACAATCAAATTGATGATTCGTGTCATTAGTTTCATTTGCAAAGATATTAAAGGATAATAATTGGATAGTATCTACTAAAGAAGAATTTTTACATCCCGCAGCGCATTCAATGTTCATAATCCAGTCTCCACACTTCCGTGGATTCATGGGAACATCTTTAACGGCATCCTCTTGTCCGTACTCGTTTCACTATTCATACGAGACCTTTATTCAAATCGTTTTCACACAGGCCCTTGCGAGCCGGTTTTGCAGCTCGAGCCTGGCTATACGGCGTAGGATTTGCATTATGTTTGGCTGATGGCTGCACAAAGCCAATCAACGTGCAAATGCGGCGAGGCTCCCGCCGTTTTTAGCAAGCTTCGACGCGCAAATTGCCGGAATACGGAAAGAGGCGGCGTTGCATAAATATCCGTGTGTACTCCAAACAATTTTTACTTACGTATTATACATATTGTATTGTCCCAATTGTTTTTCCCGTGTCTCCTGCGAATAATGGAGTTTTTTCACTTGTTTGACAATGAGAGTATCACTAAATTTATAGCGCAGATACATATTCATCGGCATACGTTCCTTTTAAAATGCACTTATATTTTCGCCGTTCTCGTATCTCGATCGTCGTCACTTACGAGAGTTCTGGCGTTAAACATCGCGCGAAAGAGACTGGATTTGTTTTAAATTAAAATCGATATCCATCACGGGGCGGTCTTAGCGATGGCGCCTAGGTTTATTGAAACTCCGTGGCTTTCGAGCAATTTCGCGGAGCTTTGCTTTAATCCCGCAGGATACGCTTTCTCTGCCTTTCTCACCCTTATTATCTTTTCTTTTCTCCACTACAGCTAACGCGACTGCACGACCACTCACATTTTTCACGTCGCTAAGCACATACAAATAAAATTAATTACGATCCCCCGCAAAACGTGCGGAATACTTTATGAGCATCTTAAATTAGGGAGACATTTTTATGGGAATTCATATGTTCGTCTCTCCGGCGGGGAATATCCCTGAATTTATTCGAAATGCGCGTAAAAAGAGTTTCGAGACGCGTGCCTTACGGCGAAAACCAATAACCATGTAACTATACATTTCAGACAACTGAACTCAGGTTCGAGCTGGAAAGCGCGCTTTCCGGGCGAGAGGGGGATGGTGGCGCGAACGGAAGAACGAACGGGATGAAGAATTCGCGGAGGAAAAGAAGGGTAAAGGTGAAATAAGAGCAACGCGATGATGCCCTCCCCGACGGAAGGGCGAGGAAGGGGTAGAAAGATTGCACCGCGGTAGGCGGGAAAGTTAGCTTGGTGTGTAAACCGGCATGCGAATCCGCGGCAGCCGTTAGACATTCCCGACGAACCGTACACGAGCTCGCCGCGAGAGAAGAACCGTAAAACTTTATTGAAAGCACGCGCTCTCGGCGCAACTTTTCCCGCGTCCCTCGTACCCCCGGTTCCACCTTTCCCCTGCCCCGGAAGTAAGTGGAGCCTCGACGTCGGAGAGGCGTCTCGGCCATGGAATGCTGCCGTTCCTATTTTCGAACATGCAGTCCTCCGTCGCTTTCCATCTATACATACACGCGTGTTGCCGGTTTATTGAAATACTGCGCGAGTTGCGGCCCCAAAAACACGCGCGAGTCCCGTCGAAACTCATTACGATATACGTTCGTCCCGCGAACGGCTGCCAGTCGTCACGTTCGTTCGTGTATAAATGCGAGCTTATGTCTCTCAAACACGCACGGCGTTCGCACTCTTGTTTTGCAACGAGAATTAGAAGTTTGCCCATTAAAAAAATATCCGGAATTTTTTGAGATTTTCTGAGGAAAAATTGCGCAGCTCGAACTCGTAAAGCCTCGCGACGGATGGATGTTTTTCCGCGAAAATTATATTTTTGTTAACACTTTTGATGCTTCGACTGAATTAAAAATATGGAAAGAGATTAAAATCATAACAGTTAAGTTGTTAGAAAATTTTAATAAATCGAGTTCCATAAAGTTACTCAAAGAATCTTATAATTTTAATAACACACTCTTATTTATTTTAATACTGATATTGTTGTAAATGTCAAATATCTTTTTAACAAATTCTCCAAAATTAAATATTGGAATGTCAATATGTGTATAACTTGGAAATACAAATTATTTAAAATTGAGAAGCTTACCAACTATAACTATAATTTAATGAAATATTATTTACTTGAATTTGAACGTACGCTGTTTTTTGCAAAATTTTTATTCGCGTTTCAATTATCAAAATATATAAAATTATTAAATACCGTATTAAACTACACTAAATCATTGCTTTGCTTTTCATCTTCTTTGCATAATCGTCTCTGTCGACGATCGAGTCTCGAGCATATATTGCCGCGCTCGATCGAAGATTACGGCTTAACGTCGCATTATTGCCATGTTATATATTTATGCAACGCGCTCGACGAGGAGCGCACAAAATTGCGGCTGTAAAGATGAAACTTGGGGTGCGAAGGGAAAGATGCGGTGTGTGTGTGTTTAGTACAATATATTGAAGTTCCCGCCGCGAGTTTTCCCTTGCTCAACAGCAAGTATTATTCCGCGAAAAGTTTCGTTCAAAGCCTCCCCTCTTCGCGAGCGAGCGCGTCATTTTCGCAGCGCGTACGGAAACAAGAGGCTCTCTGCTCCCGTGGTCCATCGGTGTCCATCGAATATTTTAGCGTTAGCTCTATCGAATACGTCCAACCGGTCCTCTAAATTTTATATCGCGTGTGGAACGCCTCACC